AAAGAGAAAGAAGAAAACCAAAGCCTCAAAGAAGAAACTGATCTACAGGACTAGCAGTCTACACGAACCCGGCCTCACTTACCTTGAGGCCAGAAGAACTAGATGGTGCCTGGCTACCACTACCGACCATTCCAACCAGGGACACAATAGATGGTCCTGGATAGAATATGAGAAAAATGTAGAAAACTCAAATTCCTAAAAAAGTCCAGACTTACTGGACCAGTAGAATCTAGAGGAACCCCCGAGACTATCACCTTACAATGCCCGTTAAACCTGGAACTCAAACCACTCCCCCCAGTGGCCACCTATCAACTCAAACCACTCCCCCCAGTGGCCACCTATCAGCCAAAAGACAGAGTGGGTCATAAAATAAGTATCACCCATGAGTACTGTGCTCCTCTAAACAATCATCTAAATGAGATCTAACAGTCAAAATTTACCCTAGATCAAAAATGATAAGGTAAGGAGGGACAAAGAAGCTAGATTAATGGAAACAGAACAACCAGAATTGAAATGAGAATGCTGACTCATTGTGAAAAGTATAACCAATGTCACTGAATAATATGTATAGAAATTGTTACATAAGAACCTAATTTGCTACGTAAATCTACTCCAAAAACACAATAAAATCATTTATTAAAAAGAGGAAAATAAATAAGATTACAGCCTAGAAAACCCTACGGGGCAGTTCCACTCTGTCACATGGGGTTGCTACGAGTCGAAAATTGACCCAACAGCACCCAACAACATGTTAGTTCCAAACCAAAAAAACAAATACTAACTGGGAAATCTCTGCCAAAACTCTAATATTGTACTTCTTCAATTATTTAAGTCCTCATAATGATAAATTTATTCTGCTGTCTTCAGAGACATACCTATACCATTCTAGTCCCTCATTATTCAATCCAGTAATCCCTACATAAAGAATCAAACTTTTGAGTTTGAAGAAACCTTATCGACAACCTAGTCCAATCTTCTCATTTTATAGATTAAGAACAAGAGGACTAGAGAGCTGAAGTGACTGTCTCAAGATTACAAGTGGAAAAAAGCAAGTTTTCTGGTTTAGTACTCTCTACAACTTCACTGTAAAAACTAGCTTGTTAGCTGCCAGTGAGTCAATTCCAACTCATGGTGACCTCATGTGTGCAGAGCAGAACTGCTCCACAGGATTTTCAAGGCTCTGACCTTTCAGAAGCAGACTGCCAGGCCTGTCTTCCAAGATGACTCTGGGTGGGTTTGAACCGGTAGCCTTTCTACTAGTAGTCACATGCTTAACTGTTTTTGCCACCCATATTCTAGATAATGACTCATTTAATTTTACTTTCTACCATATGACCACTATGTTGCTGTGTGCTGTCAAGTAGATTCTGACTCAGTGACCCTACAGAAGGATGGAACTTCCCCATAGGGTTTCCAAGGTTGTAGTCTTTATGGAAGCAGACCGCAACATCTTTTTCCCATGGAGCGGCTGGTGGGTTCAAACCACCAACCTTTTGGTTAGCAACCGACCACTTAACCACCGCACCACCAGGGCTCCTCTATCTATGACCACTATACAATGGTTACATTATGAAAGTTTTAAGCTAAAGTTGACACATAATTAACCTTACAGTAGCTTTTTCATTTTAAAAAGCAATGATTTAAGGAATCATTCATATTTAAAAAGTCATTTTAATATTGAAGACTGATGTTTACACTTATAATATTGCTGTTACATGTCGGCAGGTCAGTTCCAACTTAGTGACCCATGAACAACAGAACAAAACAGTGCCCAGTCCTGTGCCATCCTCACAATCGTTGTTATGCTTGAGCCCACTGTACAGCCACTGTGTTAATCCATCTCATCTCATTGAGGGTCTTCTTTTTCACTAAGCCTCTACTTTACCAAGCATGATGTCCGTCTTCAGGGACTGATCCCTCCTGATAATATGTCCAGAGTACCTGAGACAAAGTCTTGTTGTCCTCACTTCTAAGGAGCACTTTGGCTGTACTTCTCCCAAAACAGATTTGTTCATTCTTCTGGCAGTCCATGGTATATTCAATATTCTTCGCTAACAGCATAATTCAAAGGCATCGATTCTTCTTTGGTCTTCTTTATTCACTGTTCAGCTTTAGCATACATATGAGGCCACTGAAAACACCGTGGCTTGGGCCATGCGCACCTTAGTTCTTAAAGTGACACTTCTGCTTTTTAACACTTTAAAGAGGTATTTTGCAGCAGATTTGCCCAATGCAATGCATCGCTGGATTTCCTGACTGCAGTCTCCATGGGAAAATTAATATTACATAGTTAAATTCAGCGGTAGAATTCTCGACTTCCACGCGGGAGACTTGGGTTCGATTCCCAGCTAATCCACCTCAAGCACAGCCACCACCCATCTGTCAGTGGAGGCTTGCATGTTGTTATGATGCTGAATAGGCTTCAGTGGAGCTTCCAGACTAAGCCAGACTAGGAAGAAAGGCCTGGTAATCCACTTCTGAAAAAACCAGCTAATGAAAACCTCATGGATCCCAATAATCTGATCCCACTGGGCATGGGTTGCCATGCGTCTCGGGCCAACTTGAGGGCAGCTAACAACAAGAAATTTCAGTAAGAGGTTGGCAATCATTTTATGCCACTACTCAAACTAAAACAAAGTGCAAAAGCATTCCTGTCTAGTGCTGAAAGTACAAAGTTCCAGTTACAGCAGTTTTCTCTTAATATTTATAGTACTGACTGTAGTAAATTTCAAGATGTAAGTTTTCCCCTACAAAAATATAAATATACTTAATGGGTTCTATGCATTAAACTAGGGCAAAACCATTGACACTTAAACCAAATGAAAACTGAAACTCAGTGCTAACATTAAAACCAAACAAAATACCACAATGTAGAAGAAAGATTTGCAACAATCTCTTCAAATCACTTGAATTAATTACTACATGTAACAAGACACATCAGTATATTAGAATATTAAAAATAGATAATACATTATAATTCTGTTGAACTATCCTATTAGTAAAATAATGAAAAAAACAGTCAACATGTATTTCCTAAAAGAGGCAACTACTGAAAGAATTAACTGCAGATATTGTCATGGTAACTAATAGAACTATTCAACCTATTAAGAATGGCTACTACTTTCCTTTTGCATAAAGAAAGGCATGCTGTCTGACAAAAAAAACTTAATTTAAAATATGCAAAATATCAAAAAGACAAATAACAAAGATCTATGTAGAGGCCACAGATACTGCAAGACCACAACAACAAGCACCAAAAAATAAAGACTTGAAGTAAAAATAAATATAACAAACGCTCTTCACTTCACTCATAGAACTTCTGAGTTCTCACTGAAAGCCAATTTTACACAAAATTTTAACAAACTTGATTATTTATTTTTCGAGCCCAGAGCCGATGGCAGTTGGAAATAAAAATAACATCATTTTAGAGAAACTATTTTGTTCTGCAAGCCTTCATCTTAAGTGAGAATAACAGCACAATTGGAAGAGCGTAGTCATTGTCACTGAAGTGTACATGTAGAAATTTTTGAAATGGTCTATCTTTGGCTATGTGTATTTTCACCAAAAAAAAAAAAAAAGAGGTTGAGAAGTTAGAGGGTTGATATGTTGTAGGGTTGTTAACCAATGTTATAAAACAACATGTGTACTTCTGTTTCATGAGAAACTATTTGTTCTGTAAGCCTTCACCCGAAGTACAATAAAAAATAAAATAAAATAAAAAATAAATTAAAAAAATAAAAAATAACATCATTTTACACATGAAGAAACTGAGGCTCAGAAAGATGGTCAAGCCAGTAACAAATTCAAATCTTTTAACCTAGGAACTGGCATACTTGCACACACCTGACAGCAAGGGAAGACAGCCCTGACAACTGTCAGCAGAGAAGATATAAAAAACTTAACAGGCAAACACAACAATTTAAAAACACAGAATCATACAAGACAAAACCCATTAGTACTTAGGGCACCACTAACCCCGAATCATAAAGAAAACGTTAAACAATGTGCAATGCACTGTTTAACACAAGGAAATAATGTAATTTGTTAGAGAAATAATCCCATCACAAACAGTTAAAATTTCAAAAAAAGGGGGGGGAGGGGAAAGAGTGCTAAAACGGGTACGTTTTCATGTATATAGAAAACCTGAATGAGAAGCAGCTATTGTATATATCTGAGGCTTTTCTGGACTCTATAGCACTATTTCAGAACTGATAAAATGATCACTGCCCTTCCCCCTCAAATATCATTGTTATGAGCTAGCAATTACTAATTACCCTCTTTTACCGATAACTATTTTTTTCTTATCTGGTTTTAGCTACTGAAAGATACTAACAGACCCCCAAATTTCCGAAACAGCTAATTGCTTCTTGGACATATTTGTGATCGCCACTGCAAAAAACTTGGTACTGCACAGAAAATAGTGATGTCAGAAGAAATTAAAATCAATGCACAAAATGGTGCTTTTATACGATTTCCAAAATGACTGGGCGTCTCCATTCCCACAGACATTTACTTAGCTCCTTAAAAGACTAAAACCCGTTACCGTCGAGTCGATTCCGACTCATAGCCACACTATAGGACAGAGTAGAACTGCCCCACAGGGTTTCCAAGGAGCGCCTGATGGATTCGAACTGCTCACCTTTGGTTAGCAGCCGAGATAGACCAAATTCACACACTTCCTCTAAAGCGTAATTTCAATCTCCTCCTGAAAGGTCTGCGCCACTCAGATCCTCGGGAACGTGGGGGAGAACTTCGCGACAGTTCAAGGATAAGACCCTGGATCTGAGTTTTAAGAAAACGCTCAACCAAGTGGCCTGTGCCCTTAACTATGCATGGTAGCCGCTATCTTTGAGAGGAAAGGTCAGAGTAGGAAAAAAGCTTGTCTTCAGTCTAGTAATCTTAACCCCTGTGATTCAGGTTCCTCGCCCGCCACTCTCCAACCCTAACCTGACAGAACGTCAGGCTGCGCGTCCTCCTCCCCCATCAACCCTTCCACCTACCCCGCAGTAGTGCTCAGTCTTACGATTTTGAAGCACCAAGAATCACCCTGGCTCCCTAGAGTTCAAGCCGCCGTCGCTGCCGCCATATTACAGCTTGTGCGGCAAAATGCGTCAGGAAGGGAGATGTGCGCCCGAGTGGGGAGGGCGGGGGCTGGTTGGAGGAGGAACGTTTCCCGGGCCCAGGAAGCTCGGCTAAAGGCCTTTATTAGCTGCAATAACTGCAAAGCCAGCCCCGCGGTACTCAGAGGTCCCCTCTGGGCTCAGGCAGCTCCGATACCTCGACAAAAAGGCGGTTAACCCGGCCGGGCCTATCGCGCCAGCTCCGCCCCTCTTCCCGGGCCCTTAATGCTGTCGTACCCAGGGCTGCTGCAGAGGACGCCACCGAAACAGCACGAGCCTCGCGCCTCCTACCTGCACCGGTAGAGTCTCCTCTTCCCGGGGTCCGGTCCTTTAAAGCGCTTCAAATCTACCGCCGCCAGAAAAGGCGCTAAACTCCACTAACTGCCTCCCTCCCCCACAGCCCAGTCTCGGAGTGGAGGGAAAGCGTCGCGCCGGAAATACGTCAAGGGTTAGTTGCCCGTACCTCCTGGTGTTCCCTTGCTTGCGTCACCATGGCCCACCCGGGAGTCATAGTGTTTGGCTGCTCGTTAAAGACATAGTTTATATGCTTTATGTGTGGGTTGATTGAGAACATTTATAACCGGCGGAATGTCATATCGTTCGTGAAATGTAATGCTTCGTTTAATAAATACTTAATGATCCTCTACCAGGGAATTGTGAAGGAGCCCTGCCTCCAAGGAGCTTCCAGTTCGGCTCACAGTTCATGCTATGACACAAGTTCTAAAAAACGGAAATGAACAAAGTGCTACTTGAGGACAGAGGAGGAAATTAAAAGGACATTGATGATGTTCTTTGTGGAGTGTTTGTTGATAATCTTCACAGCAACCTGACGATGTAGGTTATTATCTCTGTTTTACAGATAAAGAAAATGTGGCTCAGGGAGGGTAAGTATGTCCCCACCAAAGACATTGTTCATTAATACCAAAGCAAGTTGGGACTACAAAATCCAGTGCCCTTTACGGAAAATAGGACATATATTGTCATTTATTTTAATGGGTAAGGGTCCCTGTATTAGAAATAAATGACCGGTACTATTATCTCTATCCCTCCCTCACTTCCTTCTCCCCCCCTCCTTTCTCTTTCATTCTGTTTTGGTATCAACCCTTGTGGGGGTGTGGGATGTTTTAAAGGAACTAGCTAGAGGGCTTAAATTGTTCTTACTGTATAAAAAGAGCTTAAGTTACCATCATTTAAGTTTTTCACTCACTTAGGTTAATTATTAACATCATTTGGGCCTATGGTGCATGTAAGGGGCTTGACCGATTTTACATAGCAGTGAAATTACAGTTAGACAAATTAGAAAATCTTAGACAATCTTTAGACAAAAGTAGACAATTCTGCCACCGCTCTTGTTTAAACCATTTGCCCTTACTGCAGGAGAGCAGCAACTTCCAGAGAGTATATGAATTTGACCCTTTGTAGTGGGAGGTCAGTTTTGTGATACTGTATGCTGTGAGTTGAAATCGACTCCACGGCAACAGGTTCACGGTTATCTTAAAAAATCTGACATATGTTAAGTACTTCTGAGCAAAGTATTTTTTAAAAAGATGAATTTCTTTGAGCATTGGTTTGTTTGGGATTTTGGGTCTATCTTCCTTTAACATGTATTTTTTTTAAATTTAACTATGATATTCTGATTAGTTTCTCAGGTTTGTTCTTATTGATAGAGGTGATGTGTAAGTGACATTGCTCATAGATGGGTGTATTCTCCTGCTTTTCACCCATTCAATCAGAGAGTTTTTTCAGTTGTTTGTTTTGTTTTTCGAGGACATATTATAGATCGTTATACCATAATTAACATTTTGAAATGTTAACATTACTTGTCTTCTTCTATGATATATTATCTTCATAGATATATGAAGTTATGAATAAATCTTTAGTAGTAAAATATTAAAAGTATTTATTAGACATAGTGTACATTATAGATGGTCAGATTTTAGGATATTCTTGAAAGAACTTTTGAAACAGCATCCCAGTGCTTCTTCAAGGACTGGCTGCTTGTGCTGAACCATGACTAAGTTTTCACTGCTCTTTTCTTAGGAAAAATTGTCTTTACTTTTTTTAATTTTGAGATTAAATGTATTACCTTCTTTAGTGTTAAAATATCCTTTTATGAAATTATGGTTAAGAATGTGATAGTTTTTTTTTTTCTTTCTCTAAGTGTCCTTATTTGCATAAATAAAAAAAACTGGCACTACATTGGGTCCTAAATATGTTGAAATCTCATTCGTCTGTGAAATCTCAAATTTCCCAAACTGATTTGACATGGATTTATTGTTACAAGAAAGAAGCTGTGGGACAAAGAATTAAGTTTGGCTTTTTGTATCTGGTCTCTGAAAATAACCTGAACAATTAAGGTGCTCTTTGTCTTTCTAAAATAGCCAGGCAAGTAGGGGCTACACAGGTCCCCTTCCTGAGGAACTAACTTCAGGAAGGGAGGGGGTATGATGCAGTCATGCATATTCGTTGATTATGCATAGTCATTGAAGTACCAAAAACTAGGGGACTCTGGACCTTGGAAGTTTCTCTTTGGAGCCTCCTAGTTTGGTGAGTACATCCATGAACAGGAGAGGGTGGTACCTGTCTGGGGACAATGGAGACCCTTAGCTGGGAACTCTTCCCAGACCTTGCCTGATGCGTCTATTCACTTGTATCCTTTCTGATTATAATAAGTGAGTAACTATAAGTATAGGTAATCCCAAACCCATTGCTATCGAGTCGATTCTAACTCATAGTGACCCTATAGGACAGAGGAGAACTGCCTCATAGGGTTTCCAAGGAGCGGCTGGTGGATTTGAACTGCTGACCTTTTGGTTAGTAGCCAAGTTCTTAACCACTGAGCCACCAGGGCTTCAAGTATAGGTAATAACCCACTGCCTTTGAGTTGATTCCGACTCATAGTGACCCCATAGGGTTTTTCAATGCTGTAAATCTCTATGGAAGCAGACTGCTACATCTTTTTCCCATGGAGCCACTAAACCAAAACAAAACAAAACCCACTGCCATCGAGTGGATTCTAGCTCAGAGCAATCCTATTGGACAGAGTAGAACTGCCCCATAGGGTTTCCAAGGAGCACCTGGTGGATTTGAACTACTGACCTTTTGGTTAGCAGCTGAACTCTTAACCACTATGCCACCAGGGTTTCCATGGAGCCACTAATCTCTGTAAATTTTGAGAGCTATTATAGAGAATTAACAGACCCACAAGGGGCAATGAGCCAGCAGGGGCTGGCAGTGCAGAGTTGTAAAAATGGCATAGAGGCAGCATCTGACCTCCATCTAACTTCACAGGGGGGAAAGAATAAAAATCAACAGCCCAAGGCTGATTCCTATGAGGCAAAGTTCAGACATGCCTCCTCTCTCTGCTATCTTTACCAATTCTGACACCAACTGTCCTCACTGCACTCTCTACTCTGTTAGATTTGATAATTCATTGCAATGGACACAGAGAACTCACAGACAATACTCACGATTATGGGGTTTATTCGGGAAATAACAGTTACAATTCAGGTACAGGAACACTCAGGATACAGTTTTTTCCATCAGGACAGCCTCTTCCCAGCCGTGCTTGCAGGCACTCCTCTTCCTGGCCCTCGGCCTCTGCCCAAAGGCACTCAGCTTTCTTTCTCTGTGGACGAGGAAGCCCACCATGCTATCTCCCGCTGCCAGGTCTCTGCTGCTGGGTCCCTGACACCGCTTCTCGCTGCCTTCAGTATTACTGCTTGCTGTCTTGCTCTGTCTCCAGGAGCTTCTCAGCACAGGGATCCTGGGTCCAAAGGCCGCTCTGGCTCTTCTTCCTTGGTGGTAGTGGGAGCCTCTCTTTCCCGACTCTAGAGTGGCTCATTTCAAGCTCAGCAGGATGGCAAAACTGACCAATCCCTTTGGTGGGTCACAATTACCCTATTACACAGTCTTGCTCAATCACTTTGGTGGGAGTTACAAGACCATGGCAAGAAAGCCCACACAAAAGCAATCCATTGCACTGTAAGAATAGATTCATGTAGTCCCAGCTCTAGGTGGCTGGGTAGTAGAGAAAGGCTGCAGGATCAGTAAATGAAGGAGGATAGAGTCCTTCTTGCTTGTGACCTAGACCCAGGGCACTAAAAAGAGAGAGAGATTGAGCGTGCAAGATAGGCCAGCTGGTCTGAAGTGCAGGGAGTTGTGCAGACTTCTGAGCCTATGGCTGGTCCCTGATGACCTGGCCTCAGGTGGCCAGGGATGTTTTGACCTGGTTCAGATAGCCAGGAATGAGGTCTGTTCTAACTCTGGGTGGTTAGGGTCAGAGAGAGGAATTGCCACAGAAGTGGCTGGCAATGAGGACTGGAAATGTGGGAAGGTGAGGCCTAGATCCATTTCCAGCTGGGAATTTGATTCAAGTTAGTGATAAAGGTGGGTTTTTCCTACCTTGCCCCTTTTACACTGCAATTGGTAGCATCAACCTCACAGATGCTATTACATGTAGAAGCAAATATGTGGCTTAAAGAACGGGGATTTATTTCTTTCTTGCCAAATAGATCTGAGGTTAGTGTGCCAGATCAGAAGGCACCTTTGCTCAGTGTAGTCATTCAGGGGCCTGAGTTCCTTCCATCATGTTATCCCAAGATACCTAGCCTTGTCAGAGTAGGTTGCCATGAATTTCAGCAGCCAGGAAGAGTAAAGACACAGTGCCTTATGGCGTAAATTGTTGTTGTTGTTGTTAGGTGCCTTTGAGTCAGTTCCAACTCACAGTGACCATATGTACAACAGAACAAAACACTACTTGGTCCTGTGCCATCCTCACAGTCGTTGCTATGTTTGAGCCTATTGTTGCAGCCACTGTGTCAATCCATCTCATTGAAGGTCTTTCTCTTCTTTCAATGACCCTCTGCTTTACTCTGCATGATGTCCTTCTCCAGGGACTGGCCCCTCCTGATAACATGTGCAAAGTACGTGAGACAAAGTCTCACCATCCTCGCTTTCAAAGAGCATTCTGGCTGTACTTCTTCCAAGGCAGATTTGTTCATTCTGGAAGTCCATGGTATGTTCAGCATTCTTCACCAATACTATAATTCAGAGGCATTAATTCTTTGGTCTTCCTTCTTCTTTGTCCAGCTTTTGCATGCATATGAGGCAATTGAAAACATCATGACTTGGGTCAGATACACCTTAGTCCTCAAAGTGACATCTTTGTTTTTTAAGGCTTTAAAGACGTCTTTCACAGCAGATTTGCCTAATGCAACGCATCGTTTGA